CGAAGCCGTGGAACTGTTGGTGCAGACCAGGTGCGCAGCAAGTTTCCGGGGAACTTGCAGATGGAAAAGGGCTGTTAAGACTTTAGGGTTTAGGGAAAGGGGCTTTGGAGTTACGAGTTTTGGGTAAGGGCTTGGGTTTGAGGTTTTAACACAGAGCTGAAGGCTTTTCGAGGGATGAGGTTTGAGATCCAGATGTTTCAGCCTCGAGGTGAGTTTGGAGGATTGCTGACGCCCCGATTTGGGCTTTGGCTTTGGGCCTGCAAGTTTGTGATCCGATTACTTGTCTGGGTGTGATGGTGCATCGTGATGTGTCAAGACTATGGAGCTCATGTGGTCCTTCTTGGGGATGTGTGGGGCCAGCGGTTTTGAGAGTTTTGAGGGCGCATGCGCATCGGGAGAGAGAGAGGGATCTTCACAGTTCCGGCCTGCGTTTATAGCCATAAAGCTCAAGGGCCAATGGCCAGCTGGTTGTTTGAGGCTCTGGAATCCGTGAGCTGCTCGTGCCTGAGCTTGAGGTGCGAGAGCCACAAGATTTTTCATGCACCAGTCGATTGGTTTGAGCTCAAGACTTTGTGGCTCAGAATCGTGGTCTGGTGGGTAGCCTTTAGGTCGTTTCGGAAAGTTCCTCGGACTTAACAAGGCCCGGTCGAAGGTTTGGGATTCGGCGTCCTGGGGTATCATCTTAATTCCAGGCTGAGAATTCGTAAGCGCTACGCCGTGTGTAGCCATCTGCTGAGTCTCGAGTGCCGTGCCGTTGAGGGCTTTACCCATAGGCTCCAAAAGTTCCTTTTTGGGGATTAGCGTATAGGATCCTAAACATGAACCCCCAAAAGGAGCTACTATGGAGCCTATGGGGAGTGACAAGGGCAAGCACGGTTGGAAAACCAAGTGAGAAACCAGAGCCCAGACGTGTTGGCCAGGAGGAGCTCTTCAGCGCACGAATGGTTGCAGTCTGCAGAGAGAAGGCAAAGCGGAGAAGCCCAGTTGTTGCTTTACTTCTGGCGGCTAGTATGTTACTAGAAGTTCCCTGAAAATAACTTGAGAATTTCTCTTGCGCATTGTGGTGAAATATATACCATACTGGGATTTTATTGAATTGGTGGGGCGAGGATTTTTGTCTTTAGGTGGGTGGGATTATAACTTGTGAGAAAGGCAGGGCATTTGTTTGCTTTTTGGGGGTTGTGCTCAGCATATGATAAGCATATAAGCGAGTTTTGGCGGCATGCCCCGCTGCCTCATACTCCATGTATATGTCGAAATAGGTAGGAAGCGCCGTTTATGTACCTTATCAGAAATCTTGTGCAACATGTGAATCCCATGCGCTGGAGACTCCGTTCCCGCGTCGCTTTTGGGCTCACTCTGCCAGCTCCGGACTCTGGGGCTCTCCAGCATGGCGTAGTCTGTGCCTTAGACGGCTCCATCAGGGGAAACCATGAGGAAAGCATGAACAAGTTCGGTACTTGTTTTGTTGCTTCTTCCAGCAGGTTAGTCAGCGGCTTTTCCATGCAACCGGGGCAACGCTGTATCCATATTATCCATATTAGCTGGCAATGGGGGCCTTGACGGTCTTGGCCTTCTGCGTGCTGGCAACCCTGCCTGCCGCGGAGCGCAGCGAGCGGCATCTGCAGGAGTTTCTGGGGACCGATGCAGAAGAGCACCATGGCGCTGCCCGGCAGCACCTGACCAGCCTAACCAGCGCTAGAAGGTGAGTTTCTTTTCGGAGGTCCTTCTGCGTAGCACCTGTGTGAGGTCCACAGGGCCGACACCAGGCCGGGAAGACGCACGCAGATCGAAGAGGCCCGAGCCGGTCTGCGACCTTCTTACCTGGTGCAAGTTCATCTCGAATCTCGAGACAAGCAGAAGTAAGCATCCTTCTGAGTTTGCAAGCTGCTGGTAAACACCCCCCACCACGCAAGCTGTTGGCCTCAATCAGGGTGCTAGGGTGCAGGGCTTAGAGGCGTTTTGCATGGAGGGCTTGAGCCAGTTTGGGACTTTGGGGTTTAGGGACGCTCCCAAACTTCGTTGCTGAACCGAAAAGCTTGCAGAACCGTGGATTGCAAGGATCTCGAAACGTGTTGAAGTGAGGACCAAGCAAAGCTCAACTGAGCTGTTCCTGTTCCTTGTGCGTGGAGACATTCCCTTATACACACCCTCCAACCTCCCCATTCAGGCATGATGCGGATAGAAGTTCGTAATCCCATATCCATTCCCGTGATTCCTATGATGGAGCGAGTGCAGGTCGCAGCCGGCAGCGCCACGAGGCTCGGCCCTGCCATGTCTGAGTGTGGCCCGGCACCTCTTGCATCATCATGTCGCGATTTTTCGGTTGGGAGTGGGGGGATTGCTAAGAAAACTGTAGGTGCCTGTTTCTGGTGCAATTCAAATGGTTGGAACACTGACATGCAAGGTACCGGGCCGGAGGCCTTGAGGTCTGCCTTTTTGGAGCTCGGGGTCCCGGCCGAAGAGCTCACTGGTGATCCATGCTCCTGGCCCGGAGCCGGCTGCGATGAAAGCGACTCTGGGAATAGCTTGAGACAGCTTCAAGCTTGCCTTCTTTCTGTGCAGAAGCAGCAGCAGCAATCTGTAACCCAGGATTGCGTGGCGAAGATCGACTTGTCAGGGCGGCTGCTCTCGGGCCGTGTCGGGGTGCTTCCGAGGGAGCTCAACTCACTGGACCTTTCAGATACCCAAGTCCACGGAAACACCAGTGCCTTGCAACACCTGACGCAGCTGATGCACCTGGGCCTCTCCAACACCGAAATTGCCGGCGACCTTCAGCCACTGGCGCCCCTCACCCAGCTGCAATTCCTGAACCTGCAGAATACACAAGTTGCCGGCGACCTCCAGCCACTGGCTCCCCTCAGCCAGCTGCAGAAGCTGTACCTCCACAACACCCACATTGCCGGCGACCTCCAGCCACTGGCTCCCCTCATCCAGCTGCAGAAGCTGTACCTCCGCAACACACAAATTGCCGGCGACCTCCAGCCACTGGCTCCCCTCACCCGGCTGCAAATTCTGGTACTCGACAACACCCAAATTGCCGGCGACCTCCAGCCACTGGCTCCCCTCACCCGGCTGCAACTTCTGGACCTCGACAACACCCAAATTGCCGGCGACCTCCAGCCACTGGCTCCCCGCACCCAACTGCAGAAGCTGTATCTCCAGAACACCCAAATTGCCGGCGACCTCCAGCCACTGGCTCCCCTCATCCAGCTGCAGGACCTGCGCCTCTCCAACACCCAAATCGCCGGCGACCTCCAGCCACTGGCTCCCCTCATCCAGCTGCAGAACTTGTACCTCCAGAACACACAAATTGCCGGCGACCTTCAGCCACTGGCTCCCCTCACCCGGCTGCAAATTCTGGTACTCGACAACACCCAAATTGCCGGCGATCTTCAGCCACTGCCCCTCACCCGGCTGCAATATCTGGACCTCGACAACACCTACGTTGCCGGCGACCTCCAGCCACTGGCTTCCCTCACCCAGCTGCAGGACCTGTACCTCCAGAACACACAAATTGCCGGCGACCTCCAGCCACTGGCTCCCCTCACCCAGCTGCAGGACGTGCGCCTCACCAACACCGAAATCGCCGGCGACCTCCAGCCACTGGCTCCCCTCATCCAGCTGCAGAAGCTGTACCTCCACAACACCCAAATTGCCGGCGACCTCCAGCCACTGGCTCCCCTCATCCAGCTGCAGAAGCTGTACCTCCACAACACCCAAATTGCCGGCGACCTCCGGCCGCTGGCTCCCCTCATCCAGCTGCAGAAGCTGTACCTCCACAACACACAAATTGCCGGCGACCTGCAGCCACTGGCTCCCCTCACCCGGCTGCAAGCCCTGGGCCTCTCCAACACCCAAATTGCCGGCGACCTCCAGCCACTGGCTCCCCTCATCCAGCTGCAGGTCGTGCGCCTCTTCAACACCGAAATCGCCGGCGACCTCCAGCCACTGGCTCCCCTCATCCAGCTGCAGGAGCTGTACCTCCAGCACACACAAATTGCCGGCGACCTCCAGCCACTGGCTCCCCTCACCCAGCTGCAATTCCTGAACCTGCAGAATACTCAAGTTGCCGGCGACCTCCAGCCACTGGCTCCCCTCACCCAGCTGCAACTCCTGAACCTGCAGAATACTCAAGTTGCCGGCGACCTCCAGCCACTGGCTCCCCTCACCCAGCTGCAACTCCTGGACCTGCAGAACACACAAATTGCCGGCGACCTCCAGCCCCTGGCTCCCCTCACCCGGCTGCAAGCCCTGGCCCTCTCCAACACCCAATTTGCCGGCGACCTCCAGCCACTGGCTCCCCTCATCCAGCTTCAGCACCTGTACCTCCAGCACACACAAATTGCCGGCGGCCTCCAGCCACTGGCTCCCCTCACCCAGCTGCAGGTCGTGCGCCTCTTCAACACCGAAATCGCCGGCGACCTCCAGCCACTGGCTCCCCTCATCCAGCTGCAGGAGCTGTACCTCCACAACACACAAATTGCCGGCGACCTCCAGCCACTGGCTCCCCTCACCCAGCTACAGGACGTGCGCCTCTCCAACACCGAAATCGCCGGCGACCTCCAGCCACTGGCCTCCCTCATCCAGCTGCAGAAGCTGTACCTCCAGAACACACAAATTGCCGGCGACCTCCAGCAACTCAAAGCCCTTGCCTTGCGGCAGAAGCTGTATCTTAGCGGAGCCCTTGTAAAGGGCCATATTGAGCGCCTTGCTAGCTTTCCAAACCTGATTCAGGCAAGCTTGCTTCCTCTCAGTTGTGGGGAATTGGCGGGCTCAAGACATGTAGACTTGCCAGCGGTGCTTTGTGTAGGCGCGGGTTTCCACCACCGTGTTCCTGCATGTCACATGCATTTTCTTGGGGGCTTGTATTCATGTACCACAATGCCATAGTGCTATGTGGTGGAATCGATGCTTCTGATATGGAAAAAGTCTTAAGTGATGCAAACAGGAACTTGGCCTACTACCGGAAGATTCTCTGAGGGCAATCGTGCAACGACATGTTCCGTACTGCAGCAGACTGTGACATGACTGGATGGACATCCTTTATGGCCCTGTGTAAAAAGAAGCTGATGGGTCGAGAAGGCGTCTGGGATGGTTCCCAAGATGACAGTCAAGCCTCACGTGAGACCCGTGATACACATTTCGGGGTCTATCTTGCTGCCACCGCCCCTGGCAAGTCCATCGAAGCTGGCTGTCTTGCCGAAGGTCGATCTCAGCTCCACGCAAGTTCACGGGCGCATTGCCTTTTCGTGGCGCGGCCGCCTGGCTATCAGCCGCGCAGGCTTTCAAATTTGGCCGCAGGCGTTTCTTAAACTACTCGTTTCGTCATTTCCTGAGGCCGGCTGACGAAGCTTGCTACCCTCAACCTGGCGGTCGGGCCCTTGGACTTTCCATGTGGGAATTTGCTGCTCGGCCATGCCTCGTGCCCAGGGCAGCCAAGCCGAGTTCCTTCCGGGCGGAAACGAGCTCCAGGACCTCTTCATCGAGGATTCGTCCAAGAAGCTCCTGCCAGCACTGATGACCTTGGACGCAACTTTGGCAGAATGCTAGTGACTGGTGTGTCCATCCCTGGAGGCACTCAGGGGAAGGTTTGGGCAGAACTGAGGTGTCAAACTGCCCTCTCAATGGTCCTGTGGAAGACCTCCTCGAGCTGCTGGCGGCTTCTGGGCAACTCACCCGCCTGATCGCCAAGCGTGCCAACCTCTCTGGGCATGTGCCAAACATAGCTTGCATGAAGGCAGCAAGAGTAGATGGCTATGCCTATAGCCAGAAATGCGGGCTTCCCTTGTCCAAGTCGCTGCAATCTCTAGACCTCTCGGGCAACAAGATTACTCGTGTGGACGCCCTGAATGTCCAGACGTACGTGTCATTGGCCAACAACCCACCGATGACGTTCGCAACTGGTATTTTACAGAGTGCCCTCAAGAAGAGCCTTCAGCTCGACCTAAGTGGCACGGCCATCACAAACATGCGGGATATCTCTCGTCTCTTTGAGACAGGTGCCTTGCGGATGACAGTGCAGACGACCTCGACAAATGCCACTGGCGGCTATAGCTGCCACGACGTGACGTCGAGCTCACTGAGAGTGAGTTCCCACATGTTTTGGCCAGAAGGCCTATGTGGTTGCATGGCAGGATACGAGGGCAGCGGCATCGACTGCAGGGAGTGCGGCCGCGACACCTTCAATGATGTCTTCAACAGCTCCTGCCGTCCCTGCCCGGCAAGCAGCACCGCCGGCAAAGGCGCTGCCTCCATCGATGGCTGCCGGTGTGACCTCGGCAGGACTCCTGAGGTTCACAGTGGCTCATGAGGCTCCAAAGCTTTCATCCTCAGCCATTTTCATGATAACTACTGCAGGAGCTCGCACTCTGCTCTGAACCCTGCCCCTCCCAAAGCTTTTTATACCTTTGCTCTTGCTTGGCCGCTCGGCCCTCTCAACCACAAAGTGCTAAAACCCATCCCCAGCATAAGCCTCCAGCTGCCTGTGCAGGATGATTGACGGAGCCTGCCAATGTGAGGCCGGAAAAGCCTTATCCCAGCTCCTGGAAGCAAAGCATGTGGTTGCTTTCAGGGCGCGCACGGTTTTTGGGTTTGATCCTCTCACGCAACAGTTTTTTAGATCTGGTCCTCGCCCGGAAGAGGTCTTGGGCTCACCTCACTCGAATTCTAGGCACGCTGCGCACCTGTCTAGACTGCTTCTCCTGCAATTTCGTCATGAGGGCTCTGCAAGAGCATCTAGTGGCCCGAACTGCGAGCTTCAACCCTTCGTGTGGGCGTCCAATCTGAGGAGCGCCTGCGAAGACTGCAGCGAGCTCCACCTGGACAGCTTACATAACTGCTTACATATATGGCTTAGGGTTTAGGGTTTATAGGGGTTTACCACATACCTCTCTGGTGTACGATGTGTTTGCACATGCGGCACGCTTCAAGGGTCGCGGCCTTGATGCGTTTGTTCGGGAGCAGTTGTCCGTTTGGAGCACATACTGGCTTGCAGAGATCAAGTTCTAAGAGCTTGGAATTGGAGGTCGTTTATCCTTGGCTCTTCAAGGTTGCTATGTGTGGCTGCGGTGGCGATGGCGTGCTTGTTGAAGTGTTGTGCGGTTGCCCAGAGGTTTTTCAGGATGATCACCACCCACGTCAAGCATGATGCTTGCACGGAGGTTTGGGAAGCCAGGCGAGACGAGAAGACGACTAGAAGCGCACTAATCGCAATATCTCTGCAATTCCGGAGCGACCTGAGCACTGCCCCTTTGTCTGCTCCCCCATGTTCTGATTACATAATTCGTCGGTTTTGCAGGGAACATGTCTGGTGAGGGAGGTGAGGGTCTGTTAATACAGAGGGGAAGCCTTAAACAAACTCAGAATCCCAGACTCTAAACCCTAAACCATGGGCGCAGGACTGCCCTGTCGGAAGCACCGTGGATACGGCGAAGCCTCAGGTTGGGTTGGGGAGCACAGGAGTCTTACAACTTCTAGATTTCCGACATATTCTATGATATTCTGCATTGTGACGTGTGGGGAGCTGTGTACACGCATTTTGCATTCGTGCATGGCCGCAGCCCGAGGGATTCAAGGGTCCATGCAGATGGAGGATGACCTAGTGTCGGAACAAGAACCGTGAGCACAGAGGAAACAACCGAGACCACCAGAGGACGAACGTGTGCCGGTATCAAAGTGTGTTTGCTGTTTCTTGCCTCAGGTGGGCTACGCGCGGCTGGTCCGTCAGGCTTCCGTGGTTTTCAGGTTCCGCAGAGATCAGAGTGCTGAATCAATGTTTGCGTGCCTCACTGTTGTAGGTGCAACATGTACTCACCTGCAACAGTGCTGAGTTCGCAAGATGAGTACAGACGAACTGTGAATTTAGGTCCAGCCAGGTCGCTATGTTTTTGCTGCAGACATTTCTTTGAGAATCACCGATGCGTGTACGGGTCTTTCATTCCCAATTGGGATTTTCCGAAAATTAGGGTACCTTTTTTTGAGGTCTTTATAATAAGGATCCTACTAGTTAGGGTACTATATTAGGGTCCCATTTTCGGAAACCCCCAATTGGTGCTTGGATTAACAGGGGCTGCTCATCCCCTCGCGCTCTGCAGGTGCTGGGATCCGGCTGCGGAGCGGTGCAATTCTTCAGGGAGCTCCGACATAGGCTGCACGACCGGTGGCCCGGCAGACTAGCTAGAGGGGCTTCTTAGAAATCAGTGTCAGGGCAGCTGCTTGAACTGTAGATTCTGCAAGTCGCCTCCTGCCGTGCTCAAGGCTACGAGGGGCCTCTGTGCGTCGCCTGCGCGGAGGGTTACCGCAGCCGCTCCCGCCGGTGCATCAAGTGTGATGTGGCTTCCGACGACACCCGAGGGACAATGGCCGGCGTCGCCACAACGGCTGCAGTTGTAGCGGTGGTGGCAGGTGTTATGTACTTCTGGAGGAGTTGCATGAGCCGCTAGAGCACTAGTTTACCAGTTTTGGTTTGTCAGAGCCTCAAGCCAGCATGGCTGGTGTCCTGCGGCAGGAGCCGTGCGGGGGATTCAGGGCCGGCGGACGCAGCGCCCGTGCCGCAGGGCGTGACTCGCCAGCAGCCGAATCAAGCATCAGGTCATCTCGGCTGATGCTTGAAGAAGAGTATAGGGCCTAGGGGGTTTCCGCCACAAGTTTGCCAAGGTCTTGCAGCCATTGCTTCTAGCCCAGGGCTCTGTGCTGCTCCAGCTGTTCCAGCTGTGGGGCGTGCTTCTTGGCCACGTAGGGATCGTTCCTGACGGATTTTTGTTTTGAAGAGAGTCCTTCGATGCAGACATGATGTTTGAAGTCTTGAATTGGGCTACACCCCATGACTTCAAGCTCAGTGAGGCTGGTGGCCCTGTCCACACGCAGGGACCAAGGAGGTGGTGGAGGCTCTGGAAGTAATGGAGGTCTTTGGGAAGAGGACCGGGCCGTCGGATTTGAGTCAGGATGGCTACCTATGCCAGCCTTGTAGCTTGCTAGTCTCAACTAGTATCCTGCTACGCATGAGCTCCTGCAGTGCTCCCTGCAAGGAATATGTGCAGTGGCTGCAGATGACAGCAAAGAGCTTCCGCGATGCTATGAGCTTGGAGTGTGCGTACGGCAGGACGCCCTGTGCTGAAGCAGTGAGTCTGCTGCCTATAGGGCAGCCTACGGTTCAGCTGGCATGACAGTGCTAGCCACCCGTTACTACGAAGCACTCGAGCACACTGCAGACACGTTCTGAAGGAGCGCCCAGTCCCTCAGCGCCTTGGCGTCGCCCTGCATCCCGCTGCTGCTGCTGGCACTGTGCATGCCTTTGGAGGCGGTGCGGCGTGGAGCCGGCACGGAGCCCGGATGGGGCAGCAGCGCAGCTTCACAAGCACTGGTACTGCAGTCCCAACTCAGGTGTCAGCTCGGCCCTGAAGTTGCTGACGGCGCTTTTCATCGGGGGAGCCTCCAGCTGCACGGCCCTACTCAGCTGCCGCCAAGTCGACGGAGGCTCTGGTACCTAGGAACACGTCACGGTATAGCCTCTCTTTCCAAAAGATGCGTGCTCCGAGCCATAATGAGCGAAGAGGCTGAACTCCGCGAGCGTCACAGGTGGCGAGCCCTTGCTGAAGCATGCCTTCCGCGTGGCCTTGCCACTTGTGAAGTGCGACGCATGGGGCGGAGAGGCAGCCTGGGCGCCTTGGGCTCTGTAAGTTCGTAGATCACATGTAAAAATAACGACGACAACAATGATGATGATAACAATAAAGCTGAGAATGATAACAATGAGAACCAGAACCAGAACCACCACCACCAACAACAACAACCACCAACAACAACCACCACAACAACCACCACAACAACCCAACAACAGCAACCACAACCACAGCAACCACAACCACAGCAACCACAACCACAACCACAGCCACAGCCACAGCCACAACCACAACAGCAACAGCA